CGAAATTATTAGCTGTCCTTACCTTTAAAGTTCTCAAGATGATTCATCTATGCTAGGTTTGGGTGCACACCCTATAAGAGATTTTTTAAGATAACAAGAAAGATTTAAAAAGTCACATAATTAGATGCAGGGAGGCTCTCGGTGGGCTGACTGTACTCACTGTCCCTGTCCTATAGACAGAGGTGTTGTACTGAGAGAATTCTATAAACCCGCTCCTTGCCCCTAAAGAGTGTTAAAACTCAAGATATACTCTTTGATAAGAACAAAGAGGATTATGGTAAAAGGCTTCCATTGATGAGTGTCACTTGGGCCATATGGAAACCGAGGTGGTGTCCTAGCATATGGGGGCAAAGCCAGACCCAGTACAGGACTTTGGCTAAAGCACTGAAAGAGGCCAAGGAAGATACGTCAAACTGAAGAGATGAGAGGCAAGTGTAGCTACCACCAGGGACCCAGAAACCCTAGGAATCCTTACCCAGCCCCTTTTAAGATACACTTAGAGGTGGGTTTCCTTTCTCCAAAGCATATAAAAGTTGGGTAGGGTGCCTGGGTGGCTCAGTTGGTTAAACGTCTGACTCTTGGTTTCAGCTCAGGTCATGAGATCGTGCCCCGCGTCGGGCTCTGCACTGGGCGTGGAGTCTGCTTCTTCTTTTTTTTTTTAAGATTTTATTTATTTATTTATTTGAGAGAAAGAGAGAGAGACAGAGAAACAGCATGAGAGGGGAGAGGGTCAGAGGGAGAAGCAGGCTCCCCGCTGAGCCGGGAGCCCGATGTGGGACTCGATCCCAGGACTCCAGGATCATGACCTGAGCCAAAGGCAGTTGCTTAACCAACTGAGCCACCCAGGCGCCCCTGGAGTCTGCTTCTTAAGATTCTCTCTCTCCCCCTTCCTCTGCCCCACCTCATGCACACGCATATTTGTGCTCTCTCTCTCTAAAATAATAATAATAATAATAAAGTTGGGTAAAAGTAACCATCTTTCCAATGGTGAAAATTGTCAGAGAGGCAGTTTTTGGTAGCTCCATCTACTGAAATTTTATGAAAATATTTTAAGTGAAGAAAAAGACTGGAAGTCAGGAATAGTAAACATTCTTCTCATTTTATTATTTTTATGTATTTATTTTTTTAAGTAGGCTCCATGCCCAGCATGGAGCCCAACACAGGGCTTGAACTCACAACCCCAAGATCAAGCCCTGAGTTGAAATCAAGAGTTGGATGCTTAACTGACTGAGCCACCGAGGTGCTCCTCTTCTAATTTAAAAATTTTGTAGAACATGGGAATTCTTCCCAATAAATCACATACGGTTGTTATTAGGAGAGATTGAATGCATTTTTCTTTAGTTGTTTCTGATGGTACAGTGTGGGACCTGGTTCTCACCATTAATATGTGTGTCTTTTCTAATGTATGTTGAAAAGCACTAATCCTGGTTTATCTGGAGTTGAAATGTATTTTTCAACCAACAAATGTTTACTGAGCACCTACTCTGTGCCAAGTACTGTCCCTGGCCCAGGGGATGCTATAGTGACCAAGACAAATAAGATCTTTGCACTTAGAAACACAAGTCAAAACCATGATGAGATACCACCTCCCATAGGTCAGAATGGCTAAAATTAACAACACAGCAGAGAACAGGTGTTGGTGAGGATGCAGAGAAAGGCGAACCCTCTTGCACTGTTGTGGGAATGCAAACTGGTACAGTCACTCTGGAGAACAGTATGGTGGTATAGAGCAAAGAGCTAAAAATAGAACTACCCTACGATCTAGCAATTGCACTCCTAGGTATTTACCCAAAGGATACAAAAACACACATTCAAAGGGGTACATGCACCCCGATGTTTATAGCAGCATTATCAACAATAGCCAAACTCTGGAAAGAGACCAAATGCCCATTGACTGATGAATGGATAAAGAAGATGGGGCATGTATATATACAATGGAATACTACGCAGCCATCAAAAAGAATGAAATCTTGCCTTTGGCAATGATGTGAATGCAGCTAGAGTATTGTGCTAAGCAAAATTAGTCAATCAGAGAAAGAAATATCATATGATTTCATTGATATGGGGAATTTAAGAAACAAAATGGATGAACATTCAGGAGGGGGGAGAAGAGAGAGAGGGGGAAGCAAATCATGTCCCTTAACTATAGAGAACAAACTGAGGGTTGATGGAGGGAGGTGGGAGGGGGATGGGATGGATGGGTGATGGCGTTAAGGAGGGCACTTGTTATAATGAGCACTGGGCGTTATATATAAATGATGAACCACTGAACTCTACTCCTGAAACCAATATTGAACTGTATGTCAACTAACTAGAATTTAAATTTAAAATATATACATACATATATATAAAATAAAAAACAAAACAAATGAGCAAAGGGGGAAAAAGAGAGAGGCAAACCAAGAAACAGACTCTTAATTGTAGAGAATACACTGCTGGTCACCAGAGGGGAGGTGGGTGGGGAGGGGATGGGTGAAACAGGTGATGGGGATTAAGGAGTGCACTTGTGATGAGCACCGGGTGATGTATGTCATCACTAAATTCTACACCTGAAACTAATATTGCACAGTATGTTAACTAACAGGAATTTAACTAAAAATTAAAAAAAAGGAAAAAAGATGTTTGCCTTTATTGGGCAGACACTGAAATGACAATGTTGTAGATAATTCTAGGAGGTATGAAGACAACACCAAAATGTGCTAAAGAATGCTTTGCATGGGGTATGCTACTTTAGACGGGATGAGATGGGCAGGCCCCGCGGTGAGGGGGGAGATGCGAGCTGAGGTCTTGACCGCAAGACGCATCCACGGTCAGGAGCCCGGTGGCCCCCCCAGAACCACACCCAGCAGCCCCCTGCGCAGAGGAAATGGCACACGAGAAGGCCCAGTGGCGGGGCCGCGCTTGGCGAGTTCTGACCAGTGACGTACGCGGGCTTGGGGAGGGGGTGCAGCGAAGGCGGTACGGGGGTGCTCGGCGCCACGGAGGGAGCGGAGTTGGGCGGTTTTAGGGGGTGGTGACGGGACCTGGATGCTGCATGGGAACGGAGCCTGTCCCAGCGATGTTTTCACGGAAAATAACAAAAGAGTAATGAGTGCGTTCACTTCTGGGTCAGGATTCACATTTTTTCAAAAGAAACCTTTCATGTGGGGTGGTAATCTTACTCATAGACAAAGAAATGTACATTAGCATTTCCTCCGGTGGGTTGGGTTTTGCTCCCACCGTGCAGTTTATAACATTACGCACTCAAGGACAAGATTTCCAGCCGCTTCCATCTCTAGATTGACACCGCCGGAAATGGTCGGGCCCTCTTAACGAAATGTAAATCGAATCTTGTTCATGAATTCGAAAACTGATTTTTCCTCTGCTGACCCGAGTCCGGCAGTGGCCCATTTCATCTTTGTGCTTTTGAATTCGATGTAACATTATTTATTTCGATATGTGCTTTAAGCAATACATCGCGATTCTTTCTGCGCGCCTCCAGACCTTACCGCCTCCCTCCCTAGCTTCTGATCCCTGCCCCCAGGCCACCTCCGCGCCTCCCCAAACTCCGAATTGATTTCTCCGGGCGGCACAGGTGGGCACTTCTGGTGGAGGAAGCTCGTCTTTCGGAGTCTTTCGCTCTGGATTTTAAGCCGTCGGAGGGCAGGCCTGTGTGGGTCGGGGGTCCCACCCCCTCCTCCCTCACCCCCCACACGCCCTCCTCCCTCACCCCCCACACGCCCTCCTCCCTCACCCCCCACACCCTCTCCTCCCTCACCCCCCCACACCCTCTCCTCCCTCACCCCCCACACCCCCTCCTCCCTCACCCCCCACACCCCCTCCTCCCTCACCCTCACACGCCCTCCTCCCTCACCCTCACACGCCCTCCTCCCTCACCCCCCACACGCCCTCCTCCCTCACCCCCCACACGCCCTCCTCCCTCACCCCCCACACGCCCTCCTCCCTCACCCCCCACACGCCCTCCTCCCTCACCCCCCACACGCCCTCCTCCCTCACCCCCCACACGCCCTCCTCCCTCACCCCCACACGCCCTCCTCCCTCACCCCCACACGCCCTCCTCCCTCACCCCTCACCCCTTCTCCTCCCTCACCCCCCACACGCCCTCCTCCCTCACCCCCCACACGCCCTCCTCCCTCACCCCCACACGCCCTCCTCCCTCACCCCCACACGCCCTCCTCCCTCACCCCCACACGCCCTCCTCCCTCACCCCCCACACGCCCTCCTCCCTCACCCCTCACCCCCTCTCCTCCCTCACCCCCCACACGCCCTCCTCCCTCACCCCCCACACGCCCTCCTCCCTCACCCCCACACGCCCTCCTCCCTCACCCCCACACGCCCTCCTCCCTCACCCCCCACACGCCCTCCTCCCTCACCCCTCACCCCCTCTCCTCCCTCACCCCCCACACGCCCTCCTCCCTCACCCCCACACGCCCTCCTCCCTCACCCCCACACGCCCTCCTCCCTCACCCCCACACGCCCTCCTCCCTCACCCCCCACACGCCCTCCTCCCTCACCCCTCACCCCCTCTCCTCCCTCACCCCCCACACGCCCTCCTCCCTCACCCCCCACACGCCCTCCTCCCTCACCCCCCACACGCCCTCCTCCCTCACCCCCCACACGCCCTCCTCCCTCACCCCCCACACGCCCTCCTCCCTCACCCCTCACCCCCTCTCCTCCCTCACCCCCCACACGCCCTCCTCCCTCACCCCCCACACGCCCTCCTCCCTCACCCCTCACCCCCTCTCCTCCCTCACCCCCCACACGCCCTCCTCCCTCACCCCCCACACGCCCTCCTCCCTCACCCCCCACACCCTCTCCTCCCTCACCCCCCACACGCCCTCCTCCCTCACCCCCACCCGCCCTCCTCCCTCACCCCCACACGCCCTCCTCCCTCACCCCCACACGCCCTCCTCCCTCACCCCCCACACGCCCTCCTCCCTCCTCCCGCACGCCCCCCTCCTCCCTCCTCCCGCACACCCTCTCCTCACGCGGGAGCCCGCCTGGACAGCATTCTGCGCGTCAGAGCCGTTCCTTCGAGGGTCCCGGTTAAGACAAGCCTGCTTCTGCGCATGGGCGCGTCCAGTTAGCGAGTCCAAGGAGCACGACCGGAATGTATTGTAAGTGTGGCGCGGACTCAGCTGCAGGTCGTCGGCCGCAGCCTGCCGCGTGGGCCAGAGGGAAAGCTGCGGCGTCCGACGCCACGCGGCCGGGAGTGGGCGGACAGGAGTGTGTGCGTGGCGTGACCGCTCGTGGCGGACCCTGCCGAATGCAAGGATCCCGGGAGGCTGTCCTTTCGGAAATGGCAAGCTTTTACAGAACCCACTCTCCCTGTTACGAGTAACTCTTTGCTTCTGTGCAAAGAAACACTTTCGCAGTTATTTGGTTCTGTCACCGTTTATTTTGTGGGTTTCTTGTTGCTTGCTTTTCCCGCCTCCCCTCGGTAACTGCAGGCAGGACTTGATGTTCTCGTTTTTTGTGCCCCCTGGATCTGCATGTGAGGGAATTTCCATTTTTACTGTCAGTCATCGCCGAGGCTTCGAAGGAAGCACTTCCGTACGTCGTAGGCCCGGGTGGCAGGGCTTAATGCCTAACCTACTCAGTGCTCTGCTGCAGCCGGGGGATCTCAGCAACATCTGCTCCCCCCGCCCCCCCCCTTGCCGGAACTGCAGACCCTATCTTGCCTGGGAGCATTTTCAGATCATTTTCTTTGAATATTAAAATAGGGAGGCTAGGTAAACTCCAGGTCACCCAGTTGAATCGGAATTTCAGGTAAACAATAATATCTTAGTAGAAATAGGTCCCAAGTATTGCATGGGGCATACTTAAATAGTAAAGTATTTGTTGTTTACCCAAAAGACAAACTCAACCGGGCATTCTGTATTGGTATTTCCTGACTCGGGCAGCGCTAATTAAAATCGCGAGGGCAGCCAGCACTGGAGGCCCGTGGTCCCCTTCGGTAACTAGGGAGATGTTGAATGGAGCATTTCTCTCTCCCTCTCTCTGTTGTTTTAAGTGGTCTTCTTCTGCCGTGCTGTCTTGCCGTGTGAGGGGAGCGAGGCCCTCCGTGTGCAGACGCGATGTGGGGCTGGAAGGAGGCAGGGAGGCCGGTCTCGGAGCAGCCGGGCCTCTGCCGCTGGGTCACGGCCGCTGTAGCAGGAACAACTCCAGAACACCTTCCAAGTGCTTAAAGTAAAAAGAAAAAGAAAAAATAAATAAATAAAAGGATGGGGGTCCATTGCAGGCAGCTTTAGCAGTTACCACTCATGTGGTGGTAGAGGTACCAGCTACCTGGCCACCGGAGGGAAAAGGCATTGTGGGGATAGGAGAGGTGCAGAGGGAGTGATGGAGAGCGAGAACGTGGGAGCCGGACTGGAAGATGGCTGCGTGTGGCCCCGATGGCCGGCAGGTGAAGGTTAACCTCGAAGGGTGGAAAGCACAAGGCTACCCCCAACTGCCGGGGCGACCCCGTCCTAGCAAGTGGAGCGGTGAGGTCGCAGGCAGACATTTGCTGCAGTAGGCAGATGCTCTTCTTGGGAAGCAGTGTCTGGAAGATGCTGTGACATCCTGGGAAGAATGTTTTCTAAATCTCATGGGTGGCAGGGCCTCCCTATCTGGCAGGACTGGTAGACCAAAGACAGGGGCTGTCCTCATGGATGGGGGATGTCCAAAGGGAATTCTGGTTGCAAACAAGAGCTAGCTAAGTGACCTTGGGTGCATACATTGACTAATCTGTGCTTTGGTTTCCTCATCTGGGGAATAGGTTTGGAGTGTATGGTAGGCTCTTCCGGCTCTGAGCTCATACTCACCTGGAAGCTGCTTCAGATTGGAAGAACGCTTCCCCAAAGCCAGGCCAGTTACTTATGCCACCTGTAAGAAAGAACAGAAGGACAAATTTGGAAAAAAAAAAATGGAGGGGAAATGAATTTGCTATTTCCTGCATATTATTTGCTATTTCCTGCATAATTATCAACATTATTTCTCATCTTCCACCAGAATCAGTGGTTCAGCCCTCTTGCTGCAGGGTGTGGGGATATCATTTAGAGAATGTGACCAACATTAGTAGACTGTTGCTAAGGCAAAATGAAAATGTACCTATAGTGATAGATGTAGAGAGTGATAGATATAGAGAGTATGGAAACATAGATAATACCACTTTACTGTTTTTCACATTGAAAATATTTGTGACAACAGAGCCCTTCTGGGTAGAGCCTAAGTATATTGGCTCATGTTTCTGGGTTTTATATATAAATATAAATGTAAATATCTATCTATATATGAAAACATAGTGTGTATGCATTCAAGACAGACAGAAAGCAAATATGGCTAAATTGTTAATAATTAGTGAATCTAAAAATAGTGGATGTGTATGTAACTCTCAGTTTTTCACAACTGTATCCAGGTAGCCACTGTTTAAACCAAGCACTGCATTTGAATGGGAAATGAGCTTTTAAATCAAGAAGATATAAGAAATGACTGCAATATTTACACTAGATATTAAGGACATTAAGTACAGAGAAAGACTTGACTTTATATGAGCGCAAAGAATTGATGGGAAATCTCTAGTATTAAAAAAAAAATCTCTTTTCCAAAAATGGACACCGAGAGGTTATTTTTCATTTTTGTTCCTTTTGGTACTTTATATTTGATTTGAAAGCATTTCTAATTTCGGCACCAGATCCTAGGTAAAAATTACAGGAGCCCCTGGCTTCACTCTTTCCAGTGGAATTGGTTAAAGCCGTGCTAATTCTCCTTGTTTATTAGTTACACCTAACTACTTTTCATTAAATCTGAAGAGTCAACTCTATGGTTTTTTTGATGAAATAATTCACCAAAGAACTATTTGAAATTTGACTTTTCCTTAAGTTCTGTTCTATTTGATACTGGAATGTAGGGGGGAGGGTGGGACTTATGTATAAAACAGGATCCCTGCTCAATGAGCCTATGGTCCAGATGCTACAGGACGCAGGTTGCTTTAGGACTGACATTCTGATTCCAGGGATGGAACTGGAAGCAGATTCTTTTTTTCTCTAAAGGAGTGGATTTTTTTTTTTTTTTTTAAGATTTTACTTATTTATTTGAGAGAGGGAGTGTGTGTGCCACGAGCAGGGGGAGGGGCAGAGGGAGAAGCAAGGGGGACCCTGGTGGGACCCCGGGATCATGACCTGAGCTGAAGGCAGACGCTTAATGACTGAGTCACCCAGGCGCCCCTAGGAGTGGATCTTTATGCAGCCCCACGAGGTCTGAGTAAAACCCCAGTAAGCTTCAGCGCCATCTCCAGCCCTTCTGGGTAGAACACAGAGTGTGGTCAGCGAAGGGAAGGAAGAAGCCATGTTTTGATAGCCCAGGGTCTCCACACTATACCCAATGCATCTCCCAGTGCACATCCTGTTGCCTTGGGCTACCCTGCAGAAAAAGTCAGAGGGCCCTCTCTGTTGATGGGGTCGGGTGTAGTCCTGGCCCATATCAAGGGAGGCCAGCTTGAAGGGCCCGGGCTGTGCTGGTACAATAGCCCACTAATCCTATAAAAATAAATGGCAGAAAGTGAGACCCATGCTTACATTTCAAGCACAATATTGGGGCCCGAATTTTAAACTGCTATTTAGCAATCCAGTTTCATCAGCCAGCTTTTTTGTCTAATACTTTGGGAAGACAGTCGGATGACTGAAGAAAGCATGGTGTTTCAAGGAAGGGGTCAGCTCCCGAAGGAAATGATCCCAGGACCTCTTCCAAGACACAGCTATGTCAGAAAAATAAGGTAGCTCAAGCAGAATGAAATAAAGTTTAAACAGAATTACAAAGGTGTGCATTTAGGGAGCAGAGAGAGACAATGAGGAAGTTTGATGCTAGAACAATCAGGAGAGGCTTTATGAAAAGGGGAGCAGATTTGGAGCTGGGTCCTCAAGCACGGGTGGGATGTACACAGGCAGAATGGAGAACCATGATTCCTAGACACAGGAACGGCAAGAATTCCAAATGCTCGCTGGAATCAAATGATACTAGGAGGAAACAGTTGGCCAAATCCAGGATGTAGGTCACTATGCAGGGCAATTAAACCTGTTTTTTCAGCAAGTCAGTGGTAGGGAGAGAGGTGGTGGTGGAGGGAAGGTTAATTTAGATTTGAAAAGACCTACTGCACCTCAGTATAGCAGAGTTCTCTGTCCTCCCTCCCTCTCTCCCTTTAGTCCTTCTTTACTGTATTCAACAAACATTTATTCAGCACTCACGATGTCACAGGCATTGGACTGGTTAGTCAATAAACTCTGTGGGTCCTTCCCTTATAAAGTCTCTCATGTTGGTCCTTGCCTTTCTATCCCCTTCTCCCCACTTCATTAACTAACGCTCAAATTACCTCAATGGTCTCTATCTTGAGCCCCGCTTCCGGCCCTCCAATCTCACATCCTTTCCACAATCGGTGAAGCTAATGTGAAAGCTGGCCTGGAATCAACAAATCCTAGGGAGCCTGGGCAGAGGCCCTTTGGTCACCACCCCGTGTAGGAGGCCTGCACCTGTGTGAGACCCCCAAGGGAGCTCACAGACAAAAATCACGAGAGACCTGGTGAAGACACACAAAGAAGACAAATAGATTACACACCCCGGAGTAATATAAGCATCTTTTTGAGAAAAATAAGAAACAAAAAATTTGTCTCTTGGAGAAAGGAATAGATTTACATTAAAAGGCACTAACTATGAATAAACACTCTTACACCTAAATGTGTCAAGTGGGCATTGTATGTAAATATAACCAGAGAGAAAGGACCCTAACAAATGCACCCTGTTGGTTCTAAATATAGACAGGATATTCTCATGATACTTACAAATCTAACATGTTGATCGTATATGTTATTGACAATGATATTTACCAAGTTCCCTGGTCAGTTTTCTATAAAAGACTGACCATAAAAGCCCTCAGTGGTAACCATTCTGGACCCCTCTCACTCTAGAGAGCTTTCCTTTTCTGTTCTCACCTTCACTTAATAAGTTTTCACTTCACTTTACCCTTTTGTCTGCGAGATTCCTTCTTCCACTGGGAGAGACAAGAACCCTGCAACAGTACTATCAGTACTTCAGCAAGTACATGATCATTTCTGGTATTTGAAACAGTAGCAGTGGTCAAAATAACAAGGCTTGTAATAGTCTCAAAACCCAAACACAACAGGAAGCTGTGTTAATGTTTCAACCCCATCAAAACAAGGGAAAGTGAGGAGTAACCGGTAATGGGATTGTCTCAAATATGGCCGCCAAACCCTGCAGCGTGAAATCTTATTATTCATCCAGTAGTTTTATTATCTGGGTTAATAGCAACATTCTTACTTTGGACTTATTTTGTGTGGAAGGATAAAACAAAAAGGTAGTTATATTATTTGACTTTTTAAAAAGTTTTTACTTAAATTCCAGTTAACATACAGTGTTATATTAGTTTTAGGTGTACATATAATGAATCGACACTTCCGTACACCACCCAGTGCTCATCACAAGTGCCCTCCTTAATTCCCTTCACCTATTTCACCCATCCCCCCACCCTCCTCCCCTCTGGTAACCAGCAATTTGTTCTCTAGAGTTAAGAGTCTTGTTTCTTGGTTTGCCTCTCTTTTTTTCCCCTTGCTTGTTTTGCTTCTTAAATTACATGTATGAATGAAATCATATGGTAATTGTCTTTCTCTGACTTATTTTGCTTAGCATAATACACTCTCGCTCCATCCATGTTGTTGCAAATGGCAAGATTTCATTCTTTTTTATGGCTGTGTATATCACCTCATACCTATCAGAATGGCTCTAATGAACAACACAAGAAACTGCAGGTGTTGACGAGGATGTGGAGAAAGGGGAACCCTCCCACACTGTTGGTGGGAATGCAAGCTGGTGCAGCCACTCTGGAAAACAGTATGGAGGTTCCTCAAAAAGTTGAAAATAGAGCTACCCTACAATCCAGCAATTGCACCACTGGGGATTTACCCAAAGGATACAAAAATACCAATTCAAAGGGATACATGCACCCCGATGTTTAGAGCAGCATTATCTACAATAGCCAAAGTGCCCATCGACTGATGAGTGAATAAAGATGTGGTAGATATTATTGGGCTTGGCAAATTATGAAAGAAAAGCAGTTAAAATTTGGAATAGCAACCACAATTTTTAGTAGGTGTATCATAGAGCAAATCTAAAATGAAACCTAAGAGTATTAATGTGAACTCTTGTATACAAAGGAGATCTTTTCTAGCTCTGCCCCTAAATAGCCGGGCTGCAGTTACCCCATCAATACACTTGTCACGGGTCTTGGAGCCTTGTGTTCTCTAAAGAATAGAAATTGACTAGAGGCCAAAAGAGGTAAGGCAAGGCTTTTACTCCCTCCTGCACAGGGGAGATGGCCCAAAGGAAAGGGCCCTTTAGCCTGGCTCCCCATACAAAGGCTGGGAAAGTTTTTAAAGAGACTGAGGTGGAAAAGGAATAACCCTAAGTCTTCTGGGGCGGGGAGAGAGACAGGAGGTTGGGCACGCAGGTGCAGTGGACAGAACCCGCACTGCATGTCACAGCATGTGAAATCTCCACCCCTGGGTGTCATTTTTAGTCTTATAATGAGGGAGAAAGTCTGTAAAAGGTCAGTGCTGGGGTCCACCTTGGCGCAGACAGGTTTGGTTCGGTCTTTAGTTTTCTTAGTTGAGTCCCTCCTTTAGGTAAGCATCCTGCTTCCGCGTTTCTGCGAGAAATGCTACTCAAGGGGCATAGGGTTTCAGCTATCCAGGAGCGCTGGATTTTGTGGTTGGGGCTGAGGGGACCCCAGTCCCGTCCCTGCTCTGTCTCACACTAAACACAAATAACCTATTCTGCATTTCTAGGCCTAATTTTTACACGCTAGTACACTGCGTTCCTCTATGTTCTGATAACCATGCATACACAAACCACCCTACAACATAGTGGCTTGAAAAAGCAATTACTGTTCTCTCTCACAGTTCTGGAGGCTGATGGGTTCAGCGGAGTTACTTGTGCTGTGGCTTTTACGGGTTTGCAATCAGGGTGGCGGTGGCTAAAGTCATTGTCTTTATTCAGTGTCTGGCGTTCAGGCTAGGATGTCTGGGACATCTGGGAACTGGTTGGGCCTCTCTCTCTCCATGTGGCTTCTCCACATGGCTAGCTTCAGCTTCCTTATGCTATAATGGTCTTAGGGTAATTGGACTTCCTACGTGGTAGCTGCTTCTTCCAGAGCAAGCTTCCAGGACACCCCAGGCAGAAGCTATAGAGCTTCTTCTGCAGCCTCGGAAGTCCTGCATGTCACTTCCGCTGTCCCTGTTGGTTCAAGCAGTGACAAGTCAGCTCCAATTCGAGGAGGTAGGTGGAAGGATAGCCACCCCCCTCCATGTGCGCTGCACGGGCACAGAGGGAAGAACTGATGGTTTCATGAAGCATGTTTCTACATGAATTCCTTCATAGCGATTAGAGAATGATGTCCGTCTAACCTAGAACTCAAGTTCGAGCATCTCAGATTTCTTTCTTGCCAGGGGCAGCCAACACAGCAAGAGTAGGATTAGAACCTTCAGCAGGAAAGAAAGAAAAGAAAATCCCACAACTAAGCTGCTGTACTGGCAGCAGGATTCCTTTCGCTCTGTTTTATGAAGATTAAAAGCGAGCACCCGCCCCAGGCTCTCCAGGTGGGCCCCGGGCTGGTGCACCTGGGTCGGGGCCTCGCTCGGCTGCCGTGCCAGGGAAGCTCCCGGCTCAGATTTCCTGTGGCCTCCATTGTCCCAGCACCCCCAGCTGTCTCTAGCTCGACTGGCCAGCTTTGCCCTTCAAGGGGCTGTGTGAGGGCGCCTGGGTGGCTCAGATGGTTAAGTGTCTGCCTTCGGCTCAGGTCATGATCCCAGGGTCCTGGGATCAAGTCCCACATCGGGCTCCCGGCTCAGCGGGGAGCCTGCTTCTCCCTCTGACCCTCTCCCCTCTCATGCTGTTTCTCTCTCGCTCGCTTTCTAAAAAATAAATAAAATCTTAAAAAAAAAAAAAGGGGCTGTGTGAATTTTTCCTATGTACTGTTGTCAGCCTGTACCAATGTTTACCTGCCTGCGACATCCAAGGTGACTGTCTTCCATTGACTGTTTTCCTTAGTGCTCTGGTTCCAAGGTCACTTAACGTTTGAGTGGTCTCCCCGACTTTGTTTGTCCCAAAGTCCCATGGCTTTTAATGTGTGACTTTACAGAATGGGAGATTTTTCAGAAATGCAAATTTCATATTATGGCAGAAAAACCGGAACTCTTTATTCTCTGCTAAGAGAAAGCAGGAATCTTTGGAGAGAAGCTGATTCCATTCTTGGGGTAATGTTCTAGCCTGGTGTGGAACTTTTATTGCCAGAAAGCGATGAGGCTTTAGAAATTCTGGAGAAAGACACAGAAACCGGGTTAAAGGTGGATCTATTGGCCAGGTTACAATAAATTGATTATCAAAACAAAAACAAAAAAATATGGTTAACTCAATATGTTGAGTCATGAAAAGCAGGAGTCAATAGATAAAGAAAAATAATGAGAATTTTCTTTTTAAATAACAAATATTATATTTGCATTGTATTTATTCAGAGGAGCAAAGATATTACTCATGCTTAATCGTACAAATTGCTTCAGGACTATAGATACATAGACACCCAAAGGGAGATGAAATATATGTCAGAAAAAGACTGGGAAAAAAATGTAGGTCCAGGTTTGGGATGTCCTTGTCTATTATGGTGACCCACGGGCATTCATTATATGCTAAATTATAAAGACTCTGTAAAACTTAAAAATTCAATAAAACTTTCATTGCCCACATTACCCAGAATCTTCAGATAGTAGTAGAACATTAAAGTGGGATATTGAAAAATATAAATTAGCAGAAGTTTGTACAGAAACTAGATTCAGTTAGCTAGAGGTTTTGTCGTCAAACTCTCGTGAATATGTGATTTTCAGGCAACAGAAAGAAGGTACCCTCTTCCCTTGCTTATTGGTGGACAGGCTCGTGAGACCTCCTGTTGTAAGGCCGTAGCCTGCCATTCACATTTGCTTAATGACATAGCAATCTAGTGTAAAGCACTAATGAAATCCAGCAAAGCCTTTCATTCAAAGGCTATAAGTACCCCCTCTCCTCCTCCCACCTTCATTTCCCTTGGGTCTGAACGCACTTCAAAGAAATTGTAGCCTTGAGTGGATTCGATTTTGTCTTTTAAATAGACTGGAAATAAGGAGACATCTGCTTGCTTGCATATATTTGCTGTTTGATGGTTCCAGCACTTATCCCTCATGACTCCCTTGATTTTCCCCTGCCCTGCATGACCACTGCAAAGAACCAGACAAAGGCTTCTGGAGGGGAGAGAGAAAGGCCCAAGCCCTCACACTGGAACCATTCTAGAGGGCTAAGAAAAAGGTTTTACCAACTTGGTTGAAAATGAGTTTACTGACACCCAGATATTAATATAGCATTGTGTGTCAGCCTTTTCAATTTAAAAAATACATACATTGAACCTGAAGGTTTTGTAGGACGGAACATTAAAAAGACAATTCATTTATGGCACTGGTTGCTCTTCAAGAAGAATAAGGTATTTTCCCCCAGTTTTATTGAGATTTAATTGACATTCAGCACTGTGTAAATTTAAGGTCTATAGCATAATGACTTGACTTAAGAAGACTAAGATTTTAATGTTTCATATTTTGGGTTTACAGTCATTGGTCCAAGACTTATTTAATAGGTTTAGAAACATGTAAAGGTAAATTATACAAGGGACTCTTCAGATGTTTCTTAGATGAAAATATGCTATTATGGAACTGTGAGGCTGATAAAAATTGGAGCTACTTTGCTAGAAAAATGCAAAAAGATTTATCCTAATGAAAAGTAAGGTAAGTTTTAAAGGTCATTTATGTAATTATAGAACGAGAGACCTAATCAACATAAGGGAAACTCAAACAGAGGGGAAACTTGAGGTGAAGAAGATCTGTGGGACTTTAGGTGGTTTCAGGTTTGAGGCAGTTTGCAGACAGACCCCAAAGGTGAGCCGTTTTGGAAATCTGGACGTCACAGGCCTCAGATCTCACGCGCACCGGGCAGTGTCAGTCACATTTACAGCAGGCACATTGAGAGGGGTTGTAAAAATTTATTTTTACAAGCGCTTGCTCAGAAACGGAGCTACTTACCTGCAATGCCTGTGGTGTTTATGCTGCATTACCAGAAGCCTTTTTTTTTTTTTTTGGAAGCGTGAAGAAAAACAAACAAAAATAGTCAAAACTGTGTATTTGCCAGAATAGAAAGTAATTTTTCACTTCATAAAATAACCGCCCACCCTGAGATGATTTTCTGCTTCATAGACTCTAAGTCAGAACTGAATTTCACCCAACCGTTGCAAATTGGCCAACAGAAGATCCGCTAGAAGATCTCACTTACGCCATGTGAAGCCTTGTTTCTTCCACAATTCACAGGGGCGCAGGTAGGGGCCCCGGGAAGAAGGAAGTGGTCCACTCTGCTTGGGCGGAATGAGCTGAGAGACTCACAGAGGAAGTGATCCTTACACTGTATCTTGGAAGCAGAGGAGGTATTTGCCAGGCAGGTGAGGCAGGGCTTAGTGGAAAGGTCGTAGGTACAACCCAGAAAGTGGGAGCAGTGCGGGCTAAGGGGTGGTGGGGTGACATCGTCCGGTCCCCTTGTGACTTTGGAGGTCAGGAAGGAGGTAAGGCACAATGAAATAAATATGGGGTGGAGAGTTGAGCTGCCCAGAAAGCAGGGCCAGATTTGTGGACATCCTTGTACGTTGTACTCAAGAATTTTTCATTCCTTTATTTAATAAATTGATGTATTGAAAACGTACTAAACGACAGGCCTTGGGGAGATAAGACACATTTTGTTGTTGTCCTCGTGGAGGTTATAGTATAAAAAGGGCAGACAGACATTAAATCAATAATCACACACATAACTACTTAATTTTACTTGTGATAAGCTCTTGTGGGTGAAGGACAATGCTTGTGTCATGAGGGTTTGTAATGGAAACATCTAACTTAATCTGAGGATCCTAGAAGGCTTTCCTGAGGAAGTGACCATGAACCTGAGAACAGAGTAGAGGCTACTGAGTCAGAGAAGGGCTTATTTGGGTGGAGTTGTTGGGTGGGGTTGGAAAGAACGTTGAGGGCAGATATGACAGGGGCAAAGGCCTGGGGACAGGGAGTTTCGTGGGGCTGTAGAAAACCCAGAAGCCTATGGATGGACTTTAATCAGAGGAGCCTCATGATCGTATTTGCATTTTAGAAACCCTCCCCTGGAGGTAGCATGGGAAATAGCAACAGCATATGGGACTGAAGGTAAATAGACCATGTAGCTGTGTGCTGTTATCCTAGATCCAGTGGGAGGGTCAAGGTGAGAGCAAAGGCTGTAACAGTGTGGACAGAGAGGAGGGAATAGATTTGGTAGATAAAGGGCTAGAAATGGCTATTCTTTTTTAATTAAAATTTTAAACCATTTTATTTATTTGAGAGAAAGAGTGAGTTAGAGAGCACAAGCAGGGGGAGCAGCAGAGGGAGAGGGAGAACCAGGCTTCCCGATGAGCAGGAAGCCCAATGTGGGGCTCAATCCCAGGACCCTGGGATCATGACCTGAGCCGAAGGCAGACGCGTAACCAACTGAGCCACCCAGGCTCCCCAGAAACGGCTGTTCTTAATGACCAGTGAATTAGATTGGAAAGAAGGGAGGAGGAAGTCAAAAGAATGACTCTAGGGTTTCTGGATGGAGCAACTGGGTGGATAGTGAAATGGAGCACAAAGATAAGACGTGGTGGAGGATTAGGAGGAGCCAAGGAGCTTCATTGTGGACATGCTTGGTTGGAAGTGCCTACAGAAACGTCCCATGGGCAGCTGGATGCGAGCATAAAGTTCCAGGAAGACTTCAAAGCTGGAATTACAGAAATGAAACATATCTGCAATTAGGAGGTGGTGGAATTGAGAGCTCACCCCGGGAATGTGAACTGAGTGAGAAGACCAGAGTTTCCAAGACCACACCCTGGGAAACATAGCTATTCAACAGGTGAGCACAGAAAGAAGAGGTAGAAAGGAGCCCGAAGAAGAATGACCAGAGAGGTAGAAGAATCAGAAGAAGCGTATGCTGGATATTCTCCATCTGCCCCTCCTACTCTGCGTTCTTCCCTTCTTCATCCTGCTCTGTGACCCCTGTGGACTGCATCTACTGGCTCTCTCACTCTCTGGCTTCTAGAGGTCAGCAGCTGGGAGGCACTGACAGAGAAGGGAGGGCCAGAAGAGAGAGAGAAGCTGGGTGATTCCTCCTGTTGGATTCTGGATTGTTAGTGGCTCTGTTCCTCTACTCAAGTCCACACTCCTGTTGTGCATGCATAGCTGAGGTTCTTTCGTCTCTGCAGACCTAAGGGTGGGAAAGGTGGTCCTACTGTTGCTAAGTCCTTAGGTCCCTCATCTTCCTTTCCTGGTTCACCTTAATCCCATCTAGAGCTTTTCCAACAGCTCCTTCATTAACCTCTGTCCAGTCATTCCTGTTTCTTGCCATCTGCATCCTGTTGGGATCCTCACCTTTACAGAGTTCTAGCACAAAGCCACAGAATGAGTTTCAAGGTGGGGTGGTCTCCAGCGTCAAATGCTGTGAGACCTTGTTTGATGAAGGCTGAGGAGTCCATGCTATGTAGCAACTGGAGGGTGTTGTGGCCTCAACTGGCACAGGCTAAGGGAATGATGGGCTGGAGCCTGATGGCAGTGCACCGAGGAGTCAATGGAGAGGCACTGACCATTCCTTTGAGGAGCCTAGCTATTTAAAGAGAAGAAGGTGGTATTTTGAGGGAGCTGCAGCGTGGTGTTTTCTTCCTTTGATTTAAAAAAAATTTTTTTAAAGATTTTATTTATTTATTTTAGAGCGAGACAGAGAGCATGAGTGGGGGGAGAGGCAGAGGGAGAGGGACAAGCAGACTCTGTGCTGAGTGTGGAGCCTGATGCGGGGCTCCATCCCAGGACCCTGAGATCACGACCTGAGCTGAAATCAAGAGTCGGATGCTTAACCACCTGAGCCACCCAGGCGCCCCTCTTCCTTTTATTTTAATGTTGAAGGGACTTGGGCACGCTTTTAGCCAGTGGGAAGGAGCTACTAGACAGAGAAAGCTTGGAAGTGAAGGAATGGGAAACATGAATGGATCCATGCCCAGGACTGTAGCAGGAGCTGACCGGAGGGATTAACCTTGACCACAGAATGCTGACTTCTTAGCTCAGAGCCAAGGAGTGAGTGTAGATGTGGACAGTAAATGTGTACTGCTGTGGGGTAGGGAAATGAGGGGGTTTCTTCCTGACAGCCTAAATTTTCTCAGTGAAAGTTCAAGGGCAAGGAAATTTCAAAATTGCAATTGTGAACAACAGGGGAGAAACTGATCAGGGACCAGTGAAGGTCCCAAAAGTTTGCTAAAATAAATGAATAAATGATTGGTTTAAATGATATAAACCAGAATGCAGCATGTGTGGAGAAGTGATAATGTCATGAGATACAGTTGGAAAGGTAGGATGTGTCTAGATTATGGAATTTGGTCTTTATATAGGCAATGGGGAGCATGAAATTTTTCTGGGTTTTTGTTTGTTTGCTTATTTTTTTGTCTTTTTAGTAATCTCTACACCTAACGTAGGGCTTGAACTGACAGCCCTGAGATCAAGAGTTGCATGCTCTACCCACTGAGCCAGCCAGCCACCTGCATCGAAGGTTTTTGATTAGTGGAGAGATGAAGAGAACATAAGACTTTTGGGGGGGGTGAGTGGCGGCAAGGAGAAGTACTAAAGGTTACAAAGAGGCCTTAAAATAATCTAGGAGCTAGATAAGGATGTGCCTTATTTGGGGGTTGAGAGTAGAGATGACAAAGTTAAGAGCCACTGAGGAGCTAGATCCTATGAGACTAGTGGTGATGCCAACAGGTGCATTGGGGGATGGTTAGTTCCTTTCCCCAAATTCAATCCTTTCCCATCTTAATCCACCCTAAATATACACTCTGAGCCAAAGCAGGGTGCTTTCTGTGCAAACACTGGTTTGACATGAACTGCCTAGCCCCATCCAGATTGCCACACTGAAATGTCTCCTTGTATAGACATATACGAACTTCCACAGCATAGAGCTTAGAGGTGACTCAGATACAGGGACTACAAGAGAAAGAGTCGGAGATAAGATAGCAATTTCAGTTGGCTTTCCTGGGTGGATGTCATGATACTGTTGATCAAGAAAGATCACATTTGTGAAGGAAAATGATGAATTTTAGGTCCCGGGATGATCTATGTGGATTTGGGCCATTGGGGTTGAGAATGTGAGTCTGGAGCTTGGGAGGGAGGCCGGGCCTCGTGGCGCTGATGCAGGTGAGGCCTGTATGGGGCTGATGGTGAAGCGGCGGGGCCCAGGGAGAGCGGTACCTCAGAAAGACCGGGAACAGCTCTTTGAGGAATGTTCTCTGAGAGGGCAAGCAGAGGTGGACAAGGGATGTCAGGAAGGAAAAGGAGAAAATGCCAGAAAAACAGGAGGATACACAGAAGAACACGGCTCCTGACAGCCCAGATTGGAGAGTCCCACCAAGGAAGGGCTAATTGAGGATAATGGCATGGTAGCTTTTCCTTTTTACAAACAATACCACTTCTCTTCTTGAAGACTGATTTCTAATTTACAGTTCGGTCTACAAAATGGTCCCTCTTTTAACATCACTTACGAACAAATATTTAGAGTTGCTCTGAATCCCCCTAACTTTGTAGTTTCACGATCACCGTCCAGAAAGCTGTGCTGTTCTTTGTGTGGAATTTGTTTAAAAAAAATCCGTTCAGCGGTTCTAAGGGCTTCAATCTGAACTCAAAATGTTACTTGAATTCCCTTTGATTTTCAAGTTCCACATCGTAGTAGAGTAGGTCCTCATACAGCAAGCCAGCCCCCATTAGGTGGCCCTGGGTCTGCATTTGAATATTTTCTAACTGCAACAGGTTCTCTTCTGAGTATTTACCCCAATCTCTGCCACTGAAGGGCTCCTGCGTTCCTGGTAAACTGGTTTCACTTGGGAGCTCTTGTAATAATGGCACCTGGCTCCTGGAATGGCTTTCAGCATAACCCCGCTCTCCTCTTTCACACTGAAGAGCCGGTTCATCACTACAGGATTGTAACAATTGTGTGCGGCTTCTAACCTTTCTGGAATCCGAGTCCTCAAGAGTGCATGCCAACCCCTCATTTGCATCAGTGTCCGTCAGGTGGGGATTCATGTTGCCCCCTTCCGAATTTTGTTGTGAGGCTCCTAAGTTTTCACCGGCAGTGATCTTGAGAGGAACATCATTTTGAGCTGTGTTCATTTCCTGAAGGCAAGGTTCATATTTATAAATGTCTGAGTCTCTTTCACGAGAGTCGCTCTGGTCAGGATCTGAGGGAACTTCAGCAGACCATGGTGGTGTTTGTGGTACAACATCTACATTTAAAAATTCTAAGTCTCTAAGTGAGTAATGCCACTCTACGGCCTCAGATTGGAGAGCTGCGGCATAATCGCAGATGACCATGCCTGGGGTCTCATCCCCGGAGGGACTGTTACTGCCCAGTGATCCAGGCACGGTCAGTGGACCCTCAAATGTGTTGGTGTTAGAGGCACCTTCCAGATGAGTCTCACACAAACCTGAGTCTGGACCAGAAATGAGAGGGTTTTTAAAACAGTCCTCCTGATTCTCACACTTCTCCAGAATCTTCTGGCAGGGGATATTGTCCTTAGGATCCTCTGATGATGTAACATTGTCCTTCCTCACCCCCGAGTTCTCATCCTCCGGGGGCTCACTGGCTTTGTGGCTCTTCTCACCATGTGCCTCTTCTTCAGTCACATTTCTTGCATCCTCTGAACTTGTTGAACTTAGAGTAAATAAAGACCCTTCATCAGAATCAGAATCGTAGCTGCTGTCCAATGGGTACTGAGGGTCAGGAGGAGCATGTTTCTGCCCTGGTTCCACGTCACTGAGTGGGACCGCACCGTGGGAGGCGGGCAGCCCTTCCTCAGCACTGGCCCCCTGGAGGCTTTGCTGCTGTGTGTCCTGCAAATTCAGGTAAGTGCCCACTTGCATTTCCTTGGAAAACTCCGAAGGTAACCGCTCATTCTCTCCAGCCCCCTGTGCTTTCGTATGCGTTTGCATTTGAGAGAGAGAAGCTGCCATTTCTCCCGAGAGGGGTGCATTTAACTCACCCGAGTCACTGTGAATTGAGCCAGAGACAATCTGCAATCTGCCAGCTCGCACAGGGGCGCCCGCTGAATGCACGCTGGGAGAACCTTCCTGGGCCAGAGTTGCATAATTTACTTCCCCGAGAGCATCTTTCCTGTGGATGTGATCCTGCCCTGCTGGAATTCGTTGGTTATGACCAGCATTCGGCTGTCCTTGGAGAATGGAATGGGCTGCGCTGTCACTCAGAGGTATGTACTCCTTCCCACCTCCTGGCCCTCTGCTGTCCCCACACGGCCCCCTGCTCTGCCACCTGCCAGGCTCCCTTCCGCATTCTCCTAGAGGTCCGTTGGGGATGACAGCAGCGCGGGGGCTGGCAGGCTCTTGGAGAGGCCGATCTGTCCTCAGGTGCTGGGCGTTCCCTGCAGCTTCAGTGTCGTCACAGAAGCCCTTGTTTGAGTATGCGTTATCCGCGTTGTCCCCATTGTCGGAGCTGGGCCTTTTGCGTGCGCATCTCTGGTGCCACAGTCTGTCAATGAAAGGCCTGGCGAAAGCCCCCAGGCAGAAAGCCACGAAGAACGTGATGAACACGGCCAGGCAGACGGCCAGGGCGAGGTCCTGGGAAGTGTCTCCCTGTCTGCCAGCCGTGGGCACATCCCTGGGGCTCCTGGCCCCTCTGGGCAGCCGGCGCAGCCTCTCGCTGGCCGGGGCGCCCGCGGGGCCCTTCCTCCATGCGGTGCCAGGGCGCTCAAACCAGCCTGCCTGGGGCCTCTTGGATTGGCCTGGCCGGAGGCTTTTCACAGGCTTCGCAGGACCATGAGGAAGGTGGGTCTCCCTGGAAATTCCACTTTGGAGGGTCCACTGGTCTGCCTCCTCGTTCCCTGGAAGCGGGGTGGGGGGAAACATAGTGAGTGGACACGAAAGTAAGGCTCTGTGGGTCCTCCTCAGTCCTTACCTGGCTGTCTCAGGTGTGCATGGCATGACGGTACGCAGCTTTACTGACTGATCAATTGGTTGTAACCAACAGTACGTCTCCGGCCACGTACGCTTTTACACTGGCCGTCAGGCTTTGGCCTGCTACTTAGAGGCCCGGGAGGCTGTCCGTTTCTTAGGCTTCTTGCCTGATTGCTGCTCATGCGAGGAAAGAAGACGGGGACAGCTACACCGCTTCTCCTTCCTCTGACTCCTCCACCTACTGCCCATTTTGGAGAACATTCCATCAGCCCCTGCACAACCTCCCTTGGCTCTACCTATGTGCAGGGTATCAATTTCTCACTATGCCCCAGGGCTGGCAAACAGAAACATTCAGGTTTCTTACTGGCTCCTGCCATTCTGCCTTCCATACCCAGAATGCCAGTTGTGGTTTCTACAGAGGAGTGAAACAGGGTGGCTGACATTAAGACTTCTCTGTGACCTGGGCGCCTGGGTGGCTCAGGCGGTGAGCATCTGACTCTTGGTTTCGGCTCAGGTCGTGATTTCATGGGTGGGGAAATCAAGCCCCCAGTGGGGCTCCACACTCAGTGGGGAGTCTGCTGGAAGATTCTCCCCTTCTGCCCCTCCGCCCACTCGCTTTCTCCCTCTCTCGAATAAATAAATCAATCTTTAAAATTCATAGATTTTGGGGCACGTGGGTGGCTCAGTCGTTAAGCGTCTGCCTTCGGCTCAGGGCATGGTCCCAGGGTCCTGGGATCGAGCCCTGCATCGAGCCCCGCATCGGGCTCCCTGCTCAGTGGGAAGCCTGCTTCTCCCTCCCCCACTCTCCCTGCTTGTGTTCCTTCTCTCGCTGTGTCTCTCTCTGTCAAATAAATAAATAAAATCTTTTTAAAAAATAAATAAAATAAAATTCATAGATTTCTTCTAAACGTAGTAAGCATGGCCATTTTCTACTTTAGTGGCAGTCATGAACAGAACAGAGTCCAGGACTTATTACAAAAAATCTTACCTCCCCCCACCCCCACCCCCGCCCCTATACCCAGTTAGGAGTTTGGGATTTAGCCAAGATAGTTAATGGCAAAAAAAGTTTTCCAGAATGTTCAACTCTGGTAACATAGTCTAGCATTTTGGGAGAATGTCAGGGAACAAATCAAAGTATACTTTTGAAATATATGTGTTTTGTGTGTGTGTATATATATATATATACATAAACACATATATACACACACACAAAACACACACACACATATATATAATATATATAACAAGATTATACTTTCATAGGGTTAGCAAGCATTTTATTTTATTTTAATTCCAGCATAGTTAACATACGATGTTATTTTCAGAGGCAAATGCTTTAAATAATCATGTTTTGTGTTTTAAAAGTTCTTTCTTTGATTAGTTATTTGTTAAGAATTGGGATTGGGGCGCCTGGGTGGCTCTGCTGGTTAAGCCTTTGACTTGAGCTCAGGTCATGATCTTGGGGTCCTGGGATCAGCTCAAGTTGTGATCTTGGGGTCCTGGGAAGCTGCTCGAGCCCCACCCCCACCTCAGGCTCTGGGCTCAGCAGGGAGTCTGCTTCTTCCCCTCCGTCTGCCCCTCCCCCTGCTCCTGTGCATGCCCTTGCTCACACACACTCTCAAATAAGTAAAAATCTTAAAAAAAAAAAAAAAAAAAGAATTGGGATAAAAATGTGACATTTTGGGGCTTTTCTCTCCCTGTGAAATTACTGTTTTTGACCAAATCCAATTGTTTCTGAGCAGTTTGAACTAGGTTTCTTTGACCATGTGAAGAAAATCATCCATGAACTGAGGCAAACAGGTACCAGTGATTATTCTGTGACACAGCCCGCGGCTGACTTAATCCCTAATCAACACTCTTGCTTTCAAGGGGACTGTCATGGTTTCCAATGAGACTAAATTTTCCATGGGCTTTTCTCAGTTCAGCTGGAACCACTTCAGAGAGGAGATGCCACTGACTTACCTACAGACTTACTGCAGATGACATTCCATGTTTTCCTCCAGGATTCAGAAAGGACCTTTTGGAAGGCTGCCACACTATAGTCACACTCCCGTTGGTTATCAGCCAAGTCCACCTCCAGATGGGGAAGTTCCAGAGCAATGACCATCATGGGTAGGATGGTGGTCAGAACATTGTTGCTGAGGTCTACCACCTGTTTGAGAAGAAACAAGTTTAGGGCAGTCTGTGAATCAAGACATTTAGAGACAAAATAAATACTAGTTACAGGTATTGTTTACATTGCTAGGGAGGCAATACAAATTTAGCCCTGATTTGAGAGTTAGAGAATACTGGGTTTAAATTTCTGCTCTGCCCCCTAGCAACTCTGTGAGCCTCAGCAAGCTGTTCACTTTTTAGGAGGCTCCTTCCTAGGGTTGTTGTAAGGGTCAGATGTATGTGAAAGCTTTAAGTATGGTGCCTATATTAGATGCCCAGTCCTTTCCCCTCCCTTCTTTCCTATGAGTTGCAATTTGTACTGTTAGACAAAACCAAGACTCCCGGTGGTTATCAAGGTCTAGAATTAGATACCAGGTCTAGAATTTCTGGAAGCACTGTGATCTTGAAAGTGACCAAAGACACTGGGCCATGAGAACATAGAACACAGAAGAATTGTGGTTGACCAGAAGTAGCAAAGAGAGATATTTTGCATCAACAATTATCTCAAGGGTGGTAGTACATTTCCCTGCATCCATGGCCACCTGGTATATACAAGATGACTAATTTTTCTAGTCTAATCAGGAACAAAGAGGAACCTGGGGACCAAAAAGGCTTCAGTGGCTCTAGAAACATAGAGCAGGATCTGCAGAAGTTGGATATGGCTGTGACATGATTCAGCAGGGAAGGCAGTTGGGTGTAGCTCTTGCTACCATTTGCAGAGTGCTGCTATGTACCAGGCATTCTACTGGGTGCTTCAACCTTCCCCTCCCCCTTTTCACAGAGGAGGAAACTGGGCTAGGTCACACAGTACATACCACAAAGCCCCTAGTACCAGGGCCTGGTACACAACGGGTCCTCAGTAAATAATGGAGAAAGGAATGAATGAATGGACTGGCAGAGTTGAGATCTGATCTAGCTCCACAGCTGTGTGACTTCCACTCTGGAACACGCTTTCTTGGAGCCTGGGCTCCCACTGCACGGGAGGAAAGGGCTGGGTGGAGGAGGCCTGCAGCAGGAGGTGTCAGGGGGTGGGGGGTCGTGGGGCTTAGGGAGGGGCAGGTTGGTAGTTAGAAGAACAGAAAATCATAAAAAAAAAAAAAAAAATGTAAGCCTTGCTGGAAGGGGGAAAAAAAAAAGGAAAAGAAAATTGGACCATCAATGAAAGCCAGAGCGGATGAATGTTATCCAGGTCAATGGTTTTATAAACATCAGGGAAAAAACAGCATTGGCATCTTGGGTTATATAAATTCCTAAGAAGAACTGATTCAAACAATCAAACAGCACCATGACCACGACCACTACGTGTAGAATTAGAATTCTCCCTGAACTTAGGTAGTGACAGTGACCTTTCCAGTGTTGAGTAACCAAGTAGTCTTGACTCCCAAAGGAAGGATGCCAAAAACAGGAAGGAGGAGACTTGGGGGCTCGGGGTAGAAAGAACCACTTCGCTTGGCCAGGCCTTGCCTGTGATCAATAGCTTTCTTATGTACCCCTCCTCAGCAACAGAGTGGAATACTCCGATATTTTCCTTTTAGTGCACGTCTGCATTTTCTTCATCCCAGCATCTTATTATATTACAAATCATGGAACTGAAAACAAAACTGGAGCAAGGACAGAAAACTAATAAAATGATTCAGGAGGAGTAATTTCCAAGGAAAGATTAAAGCAGAACAGTCTAATTTGCCTAAAGAAAAAGCCATCCACCATCATTTGAAAGGGGTGTACACTACAGAAAGATTGGAAGAGGCAACTAATGTTGCTACACAAGTCACTGCATCTAAGAAGAATGGGAAAGATTAAGAAAAGAAATGCTAATTTGAAATGCCAGTGAAACTTACTTCGTTCCATCTAAACGTGAGGATGAATTTATGGTTTGAAAACTCCATCTGGCTTCTGAAGATTCCCACATGGGAAGACACGTAGCATAGTGCAAGTACTAAATGCATCTCCCGAAAAAGAAAAAAACCAACATCTATTTTGATATTCAGCTTTCTGGTACCAAATAGTTCCGTCAAGTTCCAAAACCAGTTTTTAGAGTTATTGGCAAACATGTAGAAGGGATAATGGAGAAGGAGAAATTGTATGATTCTGGGCAGTTCAGGTGAAGCGAGAATTACAGATGATTTAAAACATTCTTGGGGCTAAATGTTTTATGCTAAAAACACTTTTAGTTTGCCTGTAGCATCTCTTACCTGTGAGCTACAGAACACCTATGAAGCACAGTAAAAATGCATAGGAAATAACAACAGACATAGGGCAATCACCACCCAAATACACCTATGATCAGTATACAGTATACTAAATGAGGTTCCCAGGCAACCCAACAACTCATTTGTGGGGAGCTGGGGAGCACTGCCAAGTTAAGCGGACTTTCTCATCTGCTCTGATAATTACTGCGGCAAAGATGCTCCCCAACGGCCCTGCCTTCTGGTATTCACGCCCTTGAGGAATCTCCTGCCCTGGAGCACAGGCAGGGCCTGTGACTTGGTTCTAAGCAATCGAATATGGCAAAAGCAATGTGATGTCACTCCCCTGATGACATTATATTAGCTTGTAATGTTTTTCTTGCTAGCAGGCTCTTCTTCAGGCTCTAAAGCAAGCCGCCATGCTGTGAACTGCCCTATGGAGAAGCCCACGTGGCTCAGGACTGAGGCTGACAGCCAGTAAGGAACCAGTAAAGAACTGAGCCCTCAGTCCCACAGCCCACAAGGACCTGAGTCTTGTCAACAACCATGTGGGCTTGGCAGTGGGTCCATCTCCAGCTGGGCCTTCAGGGGAGTCTCCAACCCTGGCCAACACCTTGACTGCAGCCTCTTAAAATACCCTTAGCGAAGGACCCAGGGCCTTGCCTGGCTTCCTGACCCCCAAATCATGAGATAATATGTGTGTAGTTTTAGACTAAATTAGTAGTTATTTGTGATATACCTATTCATGGCCATCATCCATTTATTCATTCCTTTGTTCAGCAAGTGTTTTTAAATATGTGTTATGAATTAGACATATGCTAAGCACTAGAAAACAAAATAGATTATGATGTATGTCCTCGAAGAGATTAGGGGGGTATAGGCATTAACAATTAACCATACCTAAAGCTAAATAATTTCAGTTGTGATAAATGCAATGAGGAAAAATCATAGCACATTGTAAGTGTATATAAAAGGGCAATGAATTCAATCTGGAGGCCCCAGGAAGGCTTGCTTGAGGAAGTGACATTGGAAAGATTCAGAAGAGTTAGTTTTCCCAGGCAAAGGATCAGCATGGGATCCCTCAGCCTTGGTGTGAAGACAGAAATGGAGTGCAGTGAGCAAGGGAGAGTGGTTTGCCATGAGGCTGGAGAGGTGGGCAGGGGCCAGGCCCTTGTTGGGAAAGCTCAGAAGGATTTTTAACAAGAAGTGGCACAATCAGATTTGTATGTTCAGAGAGTGGGATATTGTGGCCACTTTAGAATTTCTACATGCACTTTACATTTGTAAAGACCTTGCTATGGGCGCCTGGGTGGCTCAGTTGGTTAAGTGACTGCCTTCGGCTCAGGTCATGATCCTGGAGTCCCTGGATCAAGTCCCGCATTGGCTCCCTGCTCGGCAGGGAGTCTGCTTCTCCCTCTGACCCTCCTCCCTCTTATGCTCTCTGTCTCTCATTCTCTCTCTCTCAAATAAATAAATAAAATCTTAAAAAAAAAAAAAAAAAGACCTTGCTATATTCCAAGTACTATTCGAAGCACTTTATATGCATTAAAACATTTAATTCTCACAACCTTCTATGAGAAAGGAATGAAGTTACCTCTATTTTTCAGATGAGAAAACTGAGGCACAGAGAGACATGGTGACTTGACCAAGATGGTGTGGCCGCAGAGTGGCAAAGCCAACCCAGGCCACTGAGCCCAGAGCCCACCCACCTTACCACTGCCTCCCTTCCCTCCCTTCGATAGAGGAGGGACTTGGGGGCCCTGGCTGACAGGTGGCAGTTGGAAATTCATCTCCCACCTATACTTGAAGAACGCTTTTCTTAAACCTGGGAAAAATCAGCTGTCTATGTCGATGCTGTCTAATATGACAGCCCTTAGCCACAACGTGGCTTTTGAGCATTGAAATGTGACTCGTCCCATTGGGATGTGGGTTTGAAGTCTTAGCATGAAAAACAACGTAAAATATCTCATTAATAATTTGTATATTGGTTACATGGGTAAAAGATAATATTTGGGTATACTGGGTTAAAAATACATTACTAAACAAAATTCACCTCTTTTTTTACTTTGAATCTAGTTACTAGAGCATCTAAAATCGCGTATGTGGCTCGCAGTTGGTTTCTACCGAATGATGCGGGCCTGTCTAAAGAGTGAGGGTCTGTGATGGAGGATATGGGGGACTGAATCTTTCCCCAAGACCTCGCTAGATGTCCCACTGGAAGCCCCCTGGCCTTTCTAAAGGAGCACTGTGGGGAGACTGTAAATTATCTCCCAGAGAAGAGTGGGGAGAATGGAGGAAAGTGCTTGGGGCAGGGGCTGAAGTGGCCAAGCCCGGAGCAGGGCTTTGGCCCGGGGCAGAGGCGGGGGTGGGGGGTTCCTCCCCTTCATAGCTGTCAGCATTAGTGAGATTAACTGCAAGGGGCCTGAGAGACAGGGGTCCGAGATGGGTCCGATGTTTGTTCAGAGCAGTATATGGTACGTGGTGAGTACAAGTATGGGCTGTTATTATGATCACTGTTATTATTTAGGGCCCTGTTTGGGTTTGGAAGCACCAGTGTCGCAGGCCTTCAGAGCCCCATATCGTCCCGTGCCCCGGGGTGGCTCAGAGGAGCCTCCTCAAGTGCTCCAGATCACACAAGACCCCAGGGACCTGTGACCCACCTTGCAGCTCAGGGTGGGAGTCTCAATTATAACCCAGATTGAATTTCCTGCCAACTGGTAAGTGGACACTTGGAGTTGGGTTTAATTTGATTTAGAAAAATAGTGTGCCAATTCTTGCGGCTGAGTATTATGTTCGAGTAAAATTCATGTCCATTACTGAGGTGTTTGAGTTCTGAGGCAAGAGAGAGACTTCAGCAATTTTAGCAGAGCCTTAAAATAGAGTTTTTGACTAACAGCCCCTACTCCTGGGTGTGGAGAAACTCTTCCATAGAAATACTCTTCTAATGCAATGGCCTGGATGTCTGCGTATTTGAAATACTCTAAAAGTCACTTTATAACCTGTAACTTCTTGAGGTCCTTGAAGACTTCTGGATGAATCCTGAATATCTTGTTGCTCTTTAAGTAGAGGTTTTCCAGCCGCAGGCAGTGCCGAAGGTCAGACAAACCGATCTGCGCTATCCCGTTGAAGGACAGATCCAGACTCTGTAATGACTTCAGTTTCCACAGTCCTGTTAAAATGGAAAAGCACGTTAAAGTACACACGGGTGGTATTTACTATTGGTTATCACGGTCAAACAGTTGTGACACCCTGCCGGGCTGTCCGTGCAGGACCCGCTGAACGGCGGAGGCTATGGGGATTTGCGCACGATGCACCGCGTAGGAAGGAAAAGGTTCTGTTTGCAGAGCAGCCTAGAGTGGGATTCCGATGTTCTTGGGGAAAAAAAGAGCCACATGCAAAAAGATACCCATGTTCTGAGCCAGCGGAGGAAAAAGGCCGAGAGGGACCTGAACGGAGTGATCAATAGTAGTAACACTCCAGAGTTCTTGTTGATCCTGCAACATTTCTAGGCATTCGCTTATTTTTCAGAGGTAATAAGTTGTAGCGAGGTTTTTTTTTTTTTCTTTTTTAAGATTTTATTTATTTGACAGACACAGCGAGAGAGGGAACACAAGCAGGGGGAGTGGGAGAGAGAGAAGCAGGCTTCCTGCTGAGCAGGGAGCCTGATGTGGGGCTCGATCCCAGAATCCTGGGATCATGACCTGAGCCGAAGGCAGTCGCTTAACGACTGAGCCACCCAGGTGCCCCGAGGTTTTGTTTTCTGACAAAAAGAATCTAATTGGGTTTTGGTCTCCGGCTTTGTATTTCACTTGATTCCAGAGAGTAACCAGGAGGCCCATTTGGCACAGAACACAGAGGCTGGGAAGGAGGTGCCAGTCATAGCAGACTTCCAAATCTGATTTCCCATATGAGTCTCGTAAGGATGCCCTGCATTTTCACATTTCCCTTCTGCTCTATTCTTACATATACCTTGTGTCTCTCTCTCTCTTTAAAGATTTTATTTGAGAGAGAGCAAGCAAAAGAGAGAGAGAGCACGAGCAGAGGGGAGGGTCAGAGGGAGAAGAAGACTCCCGCTGAGCAGGGAGCCCGAAGTGAGGCTTGATCCCAGGACCCTGGGATCATGACGTGAGCTGAAGGTAGATGCTTAACCGACTGAGCCACCCAGGTGCCCCCCACATGTAGTTTGTGTCTTTAACCAACTACTACTTAGCAGATCACATTGGTTCAATTCCAGAAGGGTTTATTCCTTGTCTACTGTCTGCAAGATACTCATTATCAGACTGATTATACAGAGATGATGACTTAATGTAAATAGCTGTACCTCAATGTTATCTTATATTCACATCAGCTGTACAGATTAAGTAAGAGATCATTAGGACAACTCAATCAAAACATTATGAGCCAGGCACTTAGTGCTGAGGAAAAATAGAGCATAGCATCCTTGTGTCTGAGTGAGTGATAAGACATACACACAAGAAAAAGTACTAGTTACACAAACCGTTATACCCCCGCCATCCTACTATAAAATTAACTGTTGTTTGCCTGTCAGCCTCTCCATCAGATGATTAGTCCCTTCGGGGAGGAATTCATATTTTTGTTAACTCTTACAATGCCTGGAATATAATATGTATCCAATAAGCCAGAGGTCACAGTGTTTGACCCACACAGAGATTTAAAAATTATTGACCTAACAATAAAGATTCAGCACAAAAATTCGCATTTCTAGCTTCTCTTGAAAAATTAAAGTTCCAACTGGCACAAGATAATGCTTTGTGAGAGCTGAATGAGAGCTGCCTGCTTTAGCTGGGGCAGGCACTTATAGAAGATGATTTCTTTGTACTCATGCCTCTACCAAAAACAGGAAAACAAAGGACAGGCCACGAAGCTGCATGTTTAAAAAAAAAAAATGGAAGAGAACCAAGGCTGATATTCAGCTGGCATAGGCTAGTAAGAAATATTTCCATATTGGTTTGTAAATAACCATTGCTGGGCCCTTGTGGGCTGCCCCACGGCCCTAGGAACCCAGCGGGAAAGCGCCGGTTATAGGCCAGTTGTTAAATATTTTGAATATAACCCCTAGAGAAAACATGTTTCTTCATGGAGTGAAGACTTTTTCCTATACGTTTTATTATGCAAACATATGGGTCTATGAGAAAAAAATGTAGCATAAGACAACAATATAAAAGAAGCTATGGTTTCCTTAACATCGTCATGGCACTTGCCTGGCTATATATATATGGCTGTGAGCTCATAGTTCCTGTAATATCTTGCTGCTTATTTGAATGGAACACGGACCCTTGGAGTTCCATGGAGGGAAGAAATCATTTTAAAACTCCTGTTTAACTGTATACTCTCTTTATGCTCTGAGCACTTCACAAACATTTCCTCTTAATCCTCACAAAGCCCTGGGTGTTGTTACCATCTTGTAAATGACAAAACCTAGGTGCAGTGAAGTTAAGAACTTGCCCCATGTCAAAGTAGGTAGAACTGTGGAGCTGGGATTGAAACTCAGATCTCTCAACCATTATTGTTTAACCATGAACATTTCATACAAAACAAACAAACAAAAAGGGCAAAAATAGTAAACATGTATTGTAGGACTCACAATATATATGTAGAGGTAAAGTGTATGACAAAAACTAGCACAAACACCAGGAGAAGAGAGGTGGAAGAATATTGTTCTAAGTTTCGTGTGTTACAGGCAAGTAATAGAACACCAAATAAAGATGTTAGGATGTATACTGGAAATCCCAAAGCAACCACTAAAACAACACAACAACAGCATAGAATTACGTCTAATAAGCCTACAAAGGAGATAAAGAGGATTCATTTTAAAGATACACAATTAATGCAAAAAAGGGCAGAAAAAGGTAAAAGGGGGAACAAAAGAAAAAATATCGAGATGATAGATAGAAATAATAGTTTAAAAACACTAAATAAAAGGCAAAGATTCCAAGTTTGGATAAAAATTCGAGTCAACGATATAATTCCTACAAGAAACCTACTTTAAATATAGAAACATGAGTAGGATACATGTAAAAGGATGGAAAAAATAGTCTTTTCTACAAATAGTGTTGGAATAATTGCATATCTTTAAAACTTCTATAAGTTATTCATACCATGTACAAAAAATTAACTCAAACTATTTTAAAACTATCATAAACCTAAATGTAAAACCTAAATTTAAACCTAAATATAAATAAATCATAAACCTGTAATATAAAATGTAAAAAAGTAAAGTTATAAAACTTCTAGAAGAAAACATAGGAGAAAAATCTTTGTGACTTTGGATTGGGCAAAGATTTCTTAGATACAACACCAAAACACAATTTATAAACTAACAAAGTGATGAACTGTACTTCACAAAAATTTAAAATTCTGCTCTTTGAAAGACATTGTTAAAATAAAAAAATACTCAAGCCACAGACTGGGAGAAAATATTTACAAGTCACATATCTGTGAAAACTCTTGTATCCAGAAGATATAAAGAACACTCAAAACTCAATAATTTAAAAAACATTAGAAATTGGCCAAAGATTTATATACATCATCAGAGACATACAGATAGCAAATAAGCACACAGAAAGATAATTCAATATCATTAGGCATTAGGGAAATCCAAATTAAAACCACAATGATATACCACTATACATCTATTAGTATGGCTAAAATTAAAAAGATGGCCCATATCTGGTATGGGTAAGAATGTAGGACAACTGAAATTCTTACATAATGCTGGTGGGAATTTAAAATTTAAAACATTTAAAAATTTAAAATTTAAAATTAAAAACAACCACCGCACACAACACTGGCGATTTCTTCAAAAGTTAAACATCTACTTGACATACAACTCAGCCATTCTCTGCCTAGGTTTTTTACCCAAGAGAAATGAAAGCATATATCACCACAAAAACTTAGTTTCATTATTCTTTTAATGTTGATAGGAACAGTAGTGATGATCCCTCTTTCATCTCTGGTACTGGCAATTTGTGTCTTCTTATTTTTTTTCTTGGTTAGTTTGGCTAAAGGATTATCAGTTTTATTTTTTTTTTTCCAAAGAAACACGTTTTGGTTTTGTTGATTTTATCTATTGTTTTCCCTGTTTTCAATTTCATTGATTACTGCTGCAATTTCTATTATTTCTTTTCTTCTGCTTGCTTTAGGCATACATTACTCTTACTTCTTTAATTTCCCAAGGTGGAAACTTATGTTATTGATTTTAGACTTCTCTTCCAGTGGATGCTTTTAATGCTATACATTTCCCTCTAACTGCTGCTTTTGCCACATCCTGCAAATTTTGATAAACTGCATTTTCATTTTCACTTAGCTTAAAATATTTTCAAATCCCTCTTGAGACTTCTGTGACACATGTGTTATCTAGAAATGTGTTGTTTAATTTCCAGAGATTTGAGGGGTTTGCTGCTTTCTGTTGCTGATTTCCAGTTTAATTCCATTGTAATCTGAGAACATACTTTGCATGATTTCTGTTTGTTACTCAAGTTTGTTAAGGTGTGTTCTATGGCCCAGAATGTGGTCTGTCTTGGTAAATGTTTCATGTAAGCTTGAAAAAAATGTGTATTCTACTGTTGTTGGAGGGAGTATCCCATACATACCAATTAGATCAAGTTGATTGATAGTAATATTCAAGTCAGCTACATCTTTATTGATTACCTGCCTGCTTAATCTACCAATTGACAGGGGAGTGCTGGAAGTTTCCAACTATAGTGGATTTTTCTAATTCTCTTTTCAGTTGTCAGTTTTTCCTCACATATTTTGACACTTTATTGTTAGGTGCATTCACATTTAAAATTATTAGGTCTTGGCACCTGGGTGGCTCAGTTGGTTGGGCGACTGCCTTCGGCTCAGGTCATGATCCTGGAGTCCTGGGATCGAGTCCCGCGTCGGGCTCCCTGCTCAGCAGGGAGTCTGCTTCTCCCTCTAACCCTCTTCCCTCTCGTGCTATCTCTCATTCTCTCTCACTCAAATAAATAAATAAAATCTTTTAAAAAAAATAAATAAAATTATTAGGTCTTCTTTAAGAATTGGTCCCTTTTCCCCTTTATATAGTGCTTTATTTATCCCTGATAGTTTCCTTGTTCTAAAGTCTCCTTTGTCTGAAATTAATATAGTCACTCCACTTTTCTTTTGACTAGTGTTTATCTAAATGGT